AAACCTGGACAAGAAGAGTCTGACAAGGCGTGCAGTAACCCCAAAATGGGGAAATAAGCGTATCTCAAGCTTTGTGACTAAGATCTTTGAACCAAATTCCACATATTCCTGACATTCCTGAGGTCAGGTGCCAGACGCGAGGATGCTGAGTCCCTACTGCCAGCAGCAGAGACCTCTTGCACTTGAACTTTCCTCTGCATGACTCAGACTGTTCCCAAGTTTCTGCACTATTAATACAACAGGACAGGGGACGAGAAAAGGAAGGACTTCTGCCCTCTGGATGAGCTAAGGAGTCATTTAAGAGCAGTTCCAAAAGACTATCAGTAAATTCTGCATAAAATGTTTAAAAAAAATTAAGAAACTGCTCCCCTATTTTTACCTTGGCTTCATTGGTTGTGAAATCTCATCACCCTAAAGAACAGCAGTTGCATAGCGGAAGGAAGCATACTTCAGAGTACCCCATACGTACAATACTGAAACTACTTAGCACCAAAATTGTTTACAAAAGCCGGGATAAAATGACAGTTTAGTGGCAGAAAACCTACGTGGGAGAGATGATTATAAGCAACAACATTGACTTAAACAAGCTATATATAGATATTAAAGATCAGACCATAGTTAAATATATCCTATTTTGCACAGATATAGAAATACTATATTTCAGAGGTGAAACTTTCAATACTCTTATAGCAGCCTTTATTTTGCAAAAAGCCTTCATTCTTAATAAAGCCTGCAGTTACAATTGTGACATTCACAGCCCAATTTTTTCAGAGGCAGGTAATCTCTTCTGAAAATGTCACCATTTATTTTAGTACCTAGTGAATGAATTCAGACTTTGTGAATGAATCGAGGACAAGATTTGTTAGTTAAAAAAACAAAACCAAAAACATTTTAAACTTAAGTGACTGGAAATTTCAGTAAAAAGACCTTCTGTCTATAAACCTTAATTAAGTGGGCACCATAATGAAGTGTTAATGATCCTTTTCTTAGAGAATGAACATGTCTGAAACTTATTCACTGAAGAAAGCCAAAACTTATTCTCCAAAAATAGGAGAATAGCAGAATAGTGACTTCTTGAATAAATGGAGATAATTCCTCTCTGGCAAAGGTGTGTGCTCTCAGACTTGGATGGAGGTGACAGCACATACTTCTAAGGGGTAAAGGCAGAGCAGTGTCTTGTCCTTGGCTGCAGAGCAGCACTGGACTGCTGTGTTTTCTTTAGAGGCGAACTATTCTCCAAAAATCAGAAATCATCCCATAGCCTTCCTCTCTGAAAAAGGAGGATCTCACCAAACCCCCACAAATGCCATGGGTGACAAGGTCATCGCAGCAGGTCCCTTTGAATGCTGAGAGGAGATCTTTGCCTGGTGAGCATATCTGCTCACTGCTCCTTTACAGGTTTCTCACGTTTTCTTGGGTGACAAGAGGGAAAGGGGACTCACACCCTCAGATTTTTAGCAGCTTAGGAGAAAGATGAAGCAAGGCTTATTCTGAGCTTTAACCTTTCTGTTATTTTTCTGTTTTTCTTTTAACTCTTTGTTTCCACTGGAAGAGACTCAGAGTACTTCTGCACTCTGGCCAGTCAAGCCCGATGTGCACCCAGCTCCGCAGTCTGCCCCGAACAGTCTTGGTCTGGTCCCATGGGATGCCCCAGCTAAGGGTACAAAAGGCTGTTAGCACCCCCCAGAAGAGCTGTTGGGAAGACTGCTGGCCTTGTGTTCAGAGTCAATCCCTTGGCTCCATAGAGTCAATCTTAAAACATCCTTGGTGTCCTCAGCAAGGCAGACATTTGGCCTCTGTTCTCTGCTTTTATTTTTGTTTTCTTCATTACTCTCCTAGGGATTTCATGTGGTCTTTTTTTGGCATTAAATTTGCTCAGACCACATTTTCTTTACAGAAATTTACATAAATTTATTGTATCTGTTTCTTTAAATAGTCTCTTTACATTTTTAGCTCTGTATTTTAGCTCTCTGCAGTTTTTAGTGTATTGATTTCAAATCTTGTTTTGCTCCAACCATAAGCAAAAAAAAGGGATTAAAGCTCCCTCTTATCACATATACTCATGGTCCTTGACACTTTTTTTCTTTAAACTTGAAGAAAAGATTGGTTTCCGCAGATATTATTTCTACTGAATATATAATTCTCTGTTCTTCTTCTTTCTAGACTCTAAATCCTTTAAATGAAAGTGCTGATTTTTCTTAGTGACAAAGAGATAGATGGTAGCAATGTCAACATTGTTTGAGACTGCTTAAGACTGGGGTTTTGTCTGTATAAATAATTCTCTGTCACTTTTGTTCTTAAGGTTACTGGTACTGCAGTATAGCTGTTCTATTCTGACCAATTTGCTCTTCTTGTAATTTCTTTGGGCCTGATTTTACAACGTTCCAGTCATCTTTTATTTCCCAAAGGCACCGACTTCGTCTTGTTAAAGTGCCTTTATGTGGATAAGACAATTGAATGAAAGAACAAAGAATGCCTGAGGAGCAACGGTAGAATATTTTTGTATTATTCCTTGAGAAATAAGAGATTATTTCATTTAGGAGGAGCTCTCTCATTTCCAGAGATTGGATAAAAGAGCTAGCTATTCTTTAGAAAAAATGTGATATAATGCATCTCTGCTTCAGAAGAGCATTGTGTGGACAACACCTTCAAAGACTGACATCTATTTGCTCATTACAGATACAGCATCTGCTTCCTATTGTTGGGGAAAAAGAATTCTTCTTTGTTTTAATTTTCAGTCACTACAGACTTTCCTTCCTTACACTGCCCTGTAATTAGACCTGAGCAGTAATGGGAATATCTCCTCAATTTACTCTTGCTGATGTTATGACTGATGGGATGAGAATGTTTTACATATACAGTCAAAATTTGTGACTTAAGACCCTGTTATTTCCCCACAAACACAGTATAATCCAAAGAATACAATGTTTTCCTGACTCAGGTTGTATTGTTTTCCTGTTTAAGCATGTTCCCCTGCCTGCATATGACAGCTTTCAAGACAAGAGCCAAACCTCACCCTCCTTGGCCCAGCATCAGCTCCATCTCACTCTTTCTGCCTTGAACACAAGAAATTTTGTCCCACAACCTATCATTCCAGTATTCCTATGTCTTTAAAATGTAGATCTGAAAAGTCCCTATAGGTAGTCATAACACAGAAAGTCCAATCATGTAAAAAGACAAACAGGTGACTATTGTTCATTCAAACAGGAAAGAAGCCATTTAATCCTTTCGTGCAGCAAGTAATCATTTTCTCCAGGAACATGGTTTAGGAAGGGGAAAGACCGATTACAGTTGATGCAGTCTAACACTAAATAGTTTCAGATAGCTTGAGGTGTCGTGGATTACAATGCTTTAAATTTCTGCCTGTCATGTACACATTTGGTTTATGGATTTGTTCTTTGTGACTGGTTTTTACTAACCACAAGGCAATAGTTCTAAATGTACTTCTTAAAAAAAAGGTTTTGAAAGTTCAAACTCAAACTTTTCAAACTTTCAAACTCATCTTTGCAGAAGAGGATCCAGGGGTCCTGGTGGACACCCAAGTTGAACATGAACCAGCAATGTGCCCTTGTGGTGAAGAAGGTAAATGGCGTCCTGGGTTGCCCTGGGATAAGTGTTGCAGGTCGAGGGAGATGATCCTGCCACTCTACTCAGCACTAGTGAGGCCACATCTGGAGTGCTGGGTCCGGCTCTGGGCTCCCCAGTACAAGGGAAACATGGACCCAGAGGTTGTGCAGTCTCCATCCTTGGAGATATTCAAAAGCCATCTGGACATGGTCCTGGGCATCCAGCTCTAGGTGGCCCTGCTTGAGCAGGGGGTTGGACCAGATGACCTCTGGAGGTCTCTGCAACCTCAACCATTCTGTCATTGTGTGAAAGTTTAGGTCACAACAATGGAGGCACGCAGACACATTCTAATCCATGCAGTAATGCCACTGGAAGAAAAGTTTTCTATGTCAGGTTTTTATGTCACCTCACCTGGAGGTAGAAGGTGTTTGGCCTGAGTGTGCCGTTTCACATGGCACAGAAAAAGCTATTGCCCTTCATGGGAGCAGAGAGACTTGAAGATATCTGACAACAATAGTACACATTTGAATTCAAGGCCTTATATGATGGCCCTGTCTTAAATCTGCCCTTAAGTCTATGACAGACCAACTATCCAGGTGCAGAAGGGCAAAAAGAGAGCAGTATATGCCCTCCTCCCAATCCAGTAAAACGACTCTCCTCTCACCAAGTGACTTTGAACTGGTGATAAGCCCTTCAATGACCCAGCCTCTGTTCTTGCCATCTACCTGCCAAGCACAAGAGCTGACCTCCACTGATGCAGTGATCTTCTGAACATGCCCTGTTGTGGAAGAAGGGAGGCAGAAAAGTTTGGCTGCTGCTTCTCTTTGTGGTGCTGCATGGGGTATGTGCAGGGAAGAACTAACAGCTTGGGATCATTGCTCTGGTGCAAAGGAGAGAAGAGAACAACATAGTTCAGTTCTGCCTTTAGATGATAAAGCACACAGAGACTTTTCAGGATGGATCGCGAAGGTAAAAAAACCCCACACTATGTACAACAGCTTCTTGACAGTTCCTCCTCAAAACGCACATGGCTTTGATTCACCTGACTAGCACACTGGTGACAGCAGTGGTAATGGTGACAGTAGGAGAACAGCACAGGGAGGACCGTCAAAGCTGGGTTTCATATGGGTGCAGTGCTCTTGTGCTTGGTGACTCCATGGTGCTGAGACCCCGCCGCGGTGTCCCCTGACTGCTCTGAGGCTGCGGTGGTAACCTCACATCCCCGTCCCCACGTGTCCCTCTCAGTGTCCTGATCTATTCAGTGGAGGAAGCCAAGGCAGGCGTCACCCAGAGCCTTGGTACTGACACAGCCGCCTTGGACAAGGTGCACATTGTCTTGCCCTGGCACTGCCTTTCCTATTGGCCCCTCCTGACTGCTACAGGGACCGGGCACCTTTAAAAGGAGGCCAGCGAGGTCTGAGACAGGCACACAATCTCTCTGACTCTCACCAAGAGCTGCTCTGACCACTGCCTCTCTCCGCAGGACCACTGCCTCACAAAGCCAATACAATGTGTAACCGATTTGTGGGAACCTGGAAACTCGTCTCCAGTGAAAATTTTGATGACTATATGAAAGAATTGGGTGAGAAGTGCTCTTTCTTTTCTTTTTTTTTTTTTCTTTTGAGAATGTCTCTTCTTCATCTTATGCTTTACTCATGAATGGTGCCTTCTTCCTCGCCACAAAAGCACTTTAATTGCTTTTCTAGGGTAGTTCATTCATTTCCTTTGGCATCTAAAATGGAAAAATAGAAAAGCAGGTGCTGAATTACTGTAATAAATTTACTTCTGTCTAACTGAACTGACCTGATCTAATCTGTTTTTCCGCAATGAGAAGACTCCATGGAGATGCAGCATTTTTTTATGTTTGTGACTCGTGACTTGTGATAATTTACAATATATAATGGAGCTGATGTCTCATGACACGTTGGTTTCAGAGGTCTAAATCCTATGAATGAATCTATCTGTTACTGAAGAATGCCAGGAATGTAATAAATTAGGCATTGTTTTTCATTTTAATGCTGGCTTCATTCCTGTGTGGCAAGTGCACAGACAGTGAGCTACAGCATTTCTTTTGCTACATGAATGATTCACTGAGACACTGATTCCCTTTATTTGAAATGTTAAACTGGCTAACAAAAGAACCACAGTTAATTAATTAACCAGAGTAAATGTGGGATGAAAGTCCAGCTACAGATATTTTTCTGAAGATCTGAACAGAATTGTTTCAGTATCGAATAATTACTGCAAATAGTGTTCTACTTTACAGGTAACTTTACATCCTTTTATATGGATCTTTTCATCTGAATATAGCACAGCATTAACAAAAGAAATAACTATAGCTGTGCCTTTTCTGCTTTCATAAAACAGCAATACATCATCAGTGGCCTTCATTCTAATTTGCCCCAGACCTCACAACCTGTAGACAATGAACTGGACCCAAAAGCACCAGACATGCAGTTTTTCCTGGATGTCTCTGCAGCTCTTCACTCTCATACTTTAACGTTTTTATATTTTATATATGTACTTTTCACTGAGGTTTAGGCGTAAGGGTCCTTAAGGGATGTTAGTAGCAACCTAGGAATTGCCCAGCCTCCAGCATATGTTTTAATGAATAAGCACCAGAACATCGGCAGCTCAGTATCCAGTTTCTGCCATGCAGCTGGTTAACAAAAGTGCAGATTTGCAGATTTGTCAAGAATTTTTTTGAAAAAGGATTTTTGCAAACTTTTAGGAGAAATAGACATTTCTTCTGAATTTTTTCTACCCATTCTACCTCTACACAAATTCATGCAGATTTGTAACCATCTGTGTTTCCTTTAGCTAAATGCACACACACATATACTCATGTGTATCTTTATTTCATGCTGAAGGTGCACTCTACTGACTGCCGCTGCCTCAGCCTCTGAATGCAGTACTTCCACATTCAAGCTAATTAGTGTCTCACCTGAATCAGGCATTAGAGTACTCAAGAAGAAGCTGTACCTTATCCTTCCACTGAAGATTTATGGAAGGATACAGAGTTTCTTGCTTGCTAGAGTGTAGTCATAGTTTTGTTTCTGATTTCTAGGAGTGGGCTTAGCTACCCGGAAACTAGGTGGCCTGGCAAAGCCTGATGTGATCATCAGTATGAAAGGGGACATAGTAACCATCAGAACTGAAAGCACCTTCAAAAATACAATGATCTCTTTCAAACTGGGCCAGCAGTTTGATGAAACGACAGCAGATGACCGGAAAGTCAAGGTAAGGGGGTTGATGATCTCTGAGTTGTCTGGATATCTCCTAGAAGAGCACCAGGAGGAGTTTTTCCTACCCCCTTAGTGCACTATGAGTTTTCCAAACTATACAAAGAAACCACTGAAAGAAGAAATAGTATGGTGCTGAAACTAATGTTACTAAGCCTGTCATTAGACAAGAACGTGGATTTTGATGAACATAAAGTGAATGGTTACTCTAATCTGGAAAGCTTGGACTGCAGTTTGAAACTCTTCTCTTGGCCTTTGCAGAGTGTCATAACCTTGGAGAAGGGGGCATTGGTGCAAGTGCAGAAGTGGAATGGCAAAGAGACTACGATAAAGAGAAGACTGGTTGATGGGAAAATGGTGGTGGTAAGTTCACGCTCTGTGTACGCTGATAAAGGTCAGAAGGATGCAGCCTTCAGTTTGCTTCTGTCTAAATAGACTGTCAGTTTTAGCTTTCTTTCCAGTTTATGGGATAGGTTAAGAGGGAGAAAAAAGGAACCAAGCTTAGGAAACAAACTGGAAGGAAATAAATATTGTTCCATACAGTGAATTGCCTTTAAATTGACTATATTGGCAGAGCTACCATAAATTGACATCATACTTACTGCTCTCAAGACTATTATTCTTAAAAGAATGAGGTTTTCAAACAGCAGAAACCTGTGAAATGCAAATAATAGTTTGAAAGTTGGGTACTGCCATCCCTGGAATGGCTCTTTCCTTTTACCTATCTTTGAAATAAAACCTGTTCACCACAGAAAACAGATTTTACACCTTTTCACACATCTATTTTCAGTAAAGCCCATGAATTCACACATGGGTTTGCTTTCTTCTGCCTGAGCATGCCGAGCACACCAAGGGGGTGCTTAAGGTTTATTGCGTGAAAGCCATCACCTCTGTGCTCAAGCCTGCCCGCGTGGTGACCTGCAGCAGGGACTGGCAGGTCCTCATGGCTCCTCTGAAACATCTGCTGCGGGGAGGGAACCCCGCCTTCCCCGGAGGCAGGGGAACTCTGGCTTTCCCTCACCCCCCATTCAACCTGCCTTTCTCTAGCAGTCATGTGAAAGCCATGGGTCAGCCAAGCCAGGGCGATGACACACTTTAGGGACCCTAGTTTTAAGGGTCACTACTAAAGTTAAGATTTCACTTATGAATGAAAGAAAGTACTAATTTTGGCGACTTTTTTTGAAATCAGCAGGGTTATACCTTTATGGGCAAGCTTGTTCTGACTGCATTTTGCTTTGAGCTCCCATATATTTGGAAGGGTGATTTGCTTTCACATAAGCCTGGCCTCTGTAC